TTGTAGTATGTCAGCACCCACAAGAGTAGCTACTTCTGACCATAGTTTGACATCATCAGCGTATACTACTAAGCAGTCTGCTTGAATCGCTGCAGGGACGTCATTAATGTAGAGCATGAAAAGTTCCCGTCCAAGCACATAGCCTTGTGGGACTCGGCTAGTCATAGACGCAGAGCCAGACAGCTTTTGGTTCACCTTCAATTGAAGAGTCCGATCTCCCAAGAAGTCCGCAACCCATGCAAAGACGTTTTCGGTGACACCAATTCCCTGGAGATAGAGAAGAAGTCGTTTGTGTGGGACTATGTCAAAGTATTGCTGAAGTCAATGTAGATAACATCTAGGTGTCTCCGGTCGTCTACTGACTTGACCCAGGCTTCTCTGGCAACAAGCAGATTAGAGATGCAGCAGTGGACCCTGCGGAATCCGTGCTGAGCGGGGAAGATGGCACACAGGCTTTCGCCGTGGGTTTGGAGGGCGCGCTTGACAATCCGCTCCATGATCTTGCAGACCACAGACGTCAGGCCTATCGGTCGATAGTTTGCAGTGTCGTAACGGTTCCCTCCTTTGTACTTGTGCATTACAATCCGTACTTTCCAGTCAGGTGGTAGGCCTCAGTCGGCAAGAGAACGCCAGAAAATTGGACGTATCGGATCAGCGATGTATTCTGTTACCATCTTGAGGAATAGCCGATGAAGTCCCTCGGGACCCGGTGCAGAGTAAGTGTTCAGTTCAAGAAGGAGTCTCTTGACTATCTCGGGATTGATTTCGACTGGCTAGAAAGAAGGATAATATGTTGCCAGCTCTTCAGTGGATAGTGACGGTTCCACGGAGTAGATCAAGGAGTACTGCGAGGCTAGTATTTGAGCATTCTGGTCATCTTCCTAGAGCACTGTGTTCTCCTCCTGGCAGGACAGAGTAGGGATACCACTGCCAGACTCGGTGTTTCGCTTTAGGTACCAGAACAGCTTCTTCGGGAAGGTTCGTGATTGCATGACAGTGGATGTGCTCGTATTGTGATCGTTTCTGGCGCTTTCTTGGAGGGCACATATTTCTGATCACTTTGTATTTCGAGGAATCTGACGTTACCAGTGTTGATTTGCATATGTCCCATAGTTTACGTCGTCTGTTAACCAGGGATCTCATCTCTCGGTAGATCCAGGGGGCCTTTGGGGAAAGGCCGGCACTTGGTGGTAGGAGCAACATTTGAATGACCGAGATAATGCAGCGTAGTAAGTTCCATGCCTCATCAAGGTTCAGGGATTGTGGAATAGTCCAGTCTGTGATGCTTGCCGCTGCTTGTAATCTAGATAGAGCAACACGCCAGAAGTTGCGCCGGTGTGTCCCCTAATCATGTATGGCAAGACGCCATGCCTAAAACAAGGAGATTGTAGAGTGGTCTCTCCGGCCGGGTGGTTGGAGAATCTTCAGGACATGGACATCAGAGAGCGCTGGTATGAGGACGAGATCTAGTATGTTTGGTGTTTGAACCGGTATCAGCCGTGTTGATGCTGCGATGTGCTGGATCAGATTGCATTCGTGGATAGCGTCAAGAAAGCCAACCTCGAAGGAATCTTGGTACAGACCACAGTGAAGAAGGTTCCAGTCGACACGGGGTACATTGAAGTCGCCCATTAGCAAACAATTCCATCCTCGACCACTGGCTTTACCGAGTGTAATAGACGGACGCCTGAGCTCAGTGGTGCTCTGTAAGACACAGTGACCGTGTGCAGCTGATAGCTGTCATGAATTCGGCACCATAATACCTCTGAGGCTCCGTTATTGTCTCAGAGAGCTCCCATCACGTATACCTTGAGGCATGACCTCGAGTAGAGTACTCCACTCCCAGTCCGCCCACTGGAGCGATCTGCTCGTGAGAGATGATATCCTGATATGCTAATCTCAGCATCCTGGATCTCAGTTGATACTCAGGTTTCGGGGAAAGCCAGTAAATCTGACTGAGGCTCAGTACTGAGCAGAGGAATCTCGTCGCACTTACGTTAAGGCAGCGCACGTTGGCAAATATCACTCGTAAACCTTTATCTAGACAGGGGGGCTGGGTAGCATCGAGTTCTCCGGGTTTTCTGTACAACGTCAAAATCCACCATGTGGAGATCAGTCTCGCCGTTCGCTCGGCAGTTTCGCATTTCGTTGACGGTTTGTCTCATTCTGACTCTGAGGAACGGTGTTTCAGAACAAAGAAGGTTTCTTCTTTGAGACGCGAGGTACGCCTGAGGATGCGGCAACATTCATCTTCATCCTGACAGACGACTTTTAGCGGTCGAGAGTTGGGTGGATCATCGGTTTCTACCTATGTTTTGTTCACTAAGCTGCTTGCCTGGTTCTCCCAGCTGCGTAAAGAGAAAGAACTCACACCGGCTCTACATACAAGAGTTCTATTCACAAGGCTGAGGTAATGTACAACTAAATGTGCCCCCTTTAGTTGCTGCGCGCTTTGCGCTTCAAAGTGCAATGTGGTGCTGCATGACCACCGGACAGCTGATGACCTCCCGACCCTCGGTAACAAGGAACTCGAGGTGATTGATCGAAACACTTAACTTGGCAGCTGTACCAGCAACCATGGGCGCACAGAAACTGAAGTCATTTCACGCATCGCAAGAGTCAGAACTGCGTTCTAGAACCTGTGGTATTTTGGGCGACAGAAGTTAGTTTCCCTCCGTCAGAAAGGCCGTGTATACAAGGCTGCAGTAAGGGCCATCCTGCTCTATAGTAGTGAGAATTGCTTTTTCGGTCTGAAGATCTGCGACGCCTTCAAGTCTCTAATCATCGTTTTATACGAAGCATTGCTGGTGTCGGGAGGCATCACGGTGTTCGCAACGATGATGTGCGTAAGCGAGTACCAGGTAGTGATAATCATGCTAGCTACCTTGAACAACAAATAGCACTGAATAAGTTGCGTTGGTTCGGGCACCTGCTACGTATGGCTGGTCACCGCTCACCTAGGAGGGCTTTGTTTAGTCTACCAGTCGGAGGGTGGCGCGACGCGGATAGAAGTTGACTTGGCAGCGGGAAATAAAGTCAGTGGCGACTAAACTGGGTGCCGTTGGTCCGTCTCGCCTTCCGGGCTGGAGTCCACATGACGCGCCTTGTGCTTGGCTCGAGACTATACAGCACATGGTTTGCAACCGACACCAATGGCGCGTCTGCTGCCCTCTCCTAGTCGTAATGCCCGTTTAAGTGTGTTTGGTGCCCAGTTAGCTGCACGGTAATGGCTGATTACGACGACGGGCAGTGAAAGCTGGAAGGAAGCTGTCTCGCTGATGCCGCCTTATCTTTGCACGATAGCCAACTGTTTGTGATGGTATGTATCCTACACAAGGGCATTAATGTTTTCAGGTAAGTCCCCTTCTATCCCATTATTTCTTATATATATATATATATATATATATATATATATATATCTTACCAGCAGTCTATAAGATAGACATAGAGCCAGCGAAAACCATGAAACGGAAGTAATGAACACGGAGACAATAAAGAAAGGAATGAAAGTTGCAACAAAGTTTGTTGTGTTTGAATCTTGCTTGTTCTTTTTTTGTTTTTGTTTTTCACACGTCGTTGTATCTCTTTTGTATGTCTAATGTTTGCAATGTAAATCAAGAAAAGCAAGACAAACATTTGTACACATTTTCCATTGGGCCCGGTTCTGTGACATCTCCGAAAGCGTTTCCACGGGACCTACGACAACTAAACTGGAAGTCAGCGCTTTTATCGTTTGTCGCCATGTGATAGGCTGAGTACCGCGCGATTTCTTTTAGCCTGGTCCTTTGCGAGCGAGGAGAACGCGTCGGGGCAGCCGCTCGCATAGCATGCGTAAAACTTGACCCAGTCAACTCAGTTGGCGCAGTGGTACCAGTCTGTCAAGTGGAAGTCCCTTGTTACCCAAGACGCGACGTCTAACATCATCGTTGCGCACGTGGTTCATCCACCACACTCGAGCTATTCTCCGCAGACATCCATTGTCAAAGGCTGAAGTCCGACTCAAGTCATTCACACATATTTCATAGGCCAGCATGTTTGTATGGCAGCGAAGCATCAGTTCAAATGGCTGATGTACTGCTGTTATTGATTGTTGATTTGCTTCTGACACTTAGCTCGATTGCATTTAGGGAAACGAGTTAGATCGGATCACTGAAATACCTTTTCGTGGATATCATCACTGTGAATATGTGGTAAATAAAATAGGTCAAAATGGAAGAAGCAATACCATGAAAAACCCGTCAAAATGCCAGAGAAGTAGATAGGCAGGAAATATCTAGGCTGTTGGGTTTGTAGGCCATAGGTTAGATGTGAAGTGGATCGGATATGTAGCGCCACCGACTCCTCGACTGCAGAGTATCAGATGACTTATCACTGCTGTGGCTGATCTGGAGGCTTTAAGTTAAGAAAAGTAATGTGTACTAACGTGAATTGAACTGTCCATCAACCTTTGCTGGTTTTCTACCATGGCTTAAAATAACTCAGACGCGGAAAGTGAAAGACGCGGATATCAGAGTAGCTGGTCTACTGTCAGGAGAAAAGCATTACCAGTGCAGATCGATTTGAAGATTCACTTAACCAACAACCCGCTGCTTCCACAAGTAAGGAGTAAATTTTGCTACGAAACAAAGCAGTAATGCACAAGCACTAGCGACGGAAAGCCACCTTCTTAATATATTTAATGCACCAGGCTTCTAACCCACAGGCTGCGTCGTGGCTCATGACTTTCATCAAGTAACCAATGTCCGGCAACCTCCATAGGTGATTGAAGAGACTTAAATTAATACATGTTGATCCTACTAACAAGCTACTTGATCTGATGATGCCTAAGTGTTTGGATAAGTACTCATCCCATGTGTTCTGTGAAGAAACTTGGTCATCATGAATCAATCACCAACTAAAGGAAGGGCATAAGTTCAGAGGAAGAATGTGGGAACAAGTAACATTGCAGCGCACGCAAATGCAGGTAAACCAGTAACATCGTTGGAACGGGTTTAACTCACTGTCTCGGCGATGAAACTGCATAAGGAATCGGTGGACAGCTGGGGTGCCGAAGGCTCGATCGTCACACCGTTTTGCGTTTTCTTCCGAGGTCGAATGGATATCTCCCTTAAACAACCAGTGTTCAACCTTAGTCTTGCGTTCGCGACCGCCTTTCCGAGATTCTGAAATCAAAATAGCTATGTTAAGACTCGCGGCAGATAGATACAGTTAAATAGCCACATGTGAAGTGGTCGCTCAGGACTCGTCAACCGAGAATGTAGTGCTCGTATTTTAAAGGTCAGTGACTTAAGCCAGTGCTCTATGGATGACGGCGATTGATCGCCATACTATCACTAAACTCATCTGAGAATATATAATGCAGTCATCAAATTGCGGTGGATCCAGTTGCCCAGATTTACACCAGAGGACTACAACAAGTAAAGGGTGTGGGGCCAATGTGGTAGAGTGCAAACAGAACTGTGAAATGTGCGCAAAATTAGTCGGGATGGGAAGGCTGCAATTAGATGCAAAAGACCAAACAAAGCGGCGCCAATGGGGTGGCGCGGCTACGGCATGTCAGATAAAGCATACAGCCACTAACGTGGTCCATGTCAACAATTCTGCCCAAGTGCTATCACTCTGCCTAGGGGACTTGTTAAGCAGTTACTTTTTAATCATGACAAATCCACAACGATCCTCCAAATAAGATGACCGAAGCTGTTAAGCTACCTTTGCCAGACAAAACGGATCATTCTGAGGGCAGCTGTAATCCTTCAACTACACTTGATCATAGTTTGTCGCTTGTTGATGGTTTATGCTCCTGGTCGGCAGCTGATCGAAACTCACTTTAACTGGTAGAATCCACTTTTATGCCGATTGCTATTTCACTCTTCTGGCTGTACGGTTCTGAGGAGGAATCACCGAAAACAAGTGGTTACCTTCGGTCCTCAAACCCTATGAGTTCACAGCAAAGATATTTTGTGATAAAGGATCATTCCCCTCCCCTCCCCGTTCCGTCGTTCCGAAGAGGTGAGCTAGTTGATAGGGTTATCTCAACATCAGTAATTTTACAGTTCGGCCAAGATTCGGTGATCATTGCGATATCTGGAGGCTCAGAAGCCTGATGGTGATGGAGTTCGACCAAGTTACTAAGACGGACTTTTTTGTTAGCACTCAAGCTAATGAATGAATCAATGGGGGTAATGGCCTAATGAAATTGCACGTAATTGAGAGCAACGCAGGTCGCGAGATCCGGACCACGTGGAAAACTTGCAATTGCTACGGTTGAACTAAAGCCACAAAACGATATCAATTTCATAAAAGCAAATGTAAGTTATATATACATATAAATGAAATAAATAAAACTCGACGCACTTACCGGCGTGGATATCCAACGTGACCACTGGGTAGTTTTACCACTGTCTTCTTTAACGCAGATGCCGGAATTGGCGCTGACGTTAGTCACATTGTTGGATGCTGATGACTTTTTCTTTTCCGCTGGATAGAGAATACATGACCTGGTTCTACTCATATTCGTAGAGGATTCTACATTGGAGGAAGCAACACTTGTTCGATCCGAGACAGGTGAGGGCTCCCAGTCAGTGGTTTGTGAACCGTCCCCTTTCAAGCTCACAGGGCTCGGATCGTTAAGGTTTAGGCATGCAGAACTCAATAGTTTCGTTTTGCTTGTACCACTGGAAGCGGATCCGTACCGGGAATGAGGCGAATAGTAGATTAAATTTTGGTCATTTGTGTCTGCTAGAGGGCTAGAACGAGAGACCAAAACGTGACGATAATCACTTGAATCAGGCTCATAAAGCATATATGTCCGCATCTGGATAACTAATGTGTGGACATATGTTACGAAACATAATCGCAAGCCTTAACTAGGTCATGTTAGATGTTTGTTAGCGGCCTGCTTGGATTGAAGACCGCACAGCGACGTGCAACGAAAATATGAAGGGTTTGTCCCATTTGCAATGCAATAAGCGACTGAAAACCCTGGGAGTGTACGGCGGAAGATATCGCCGTCTACGAGGTGACCTCATACTGGCTTTTCAGATTTTGAAAACCTCCGTCACGCTTGCCGCCACCTCCTGAAGCTTAGCTGCAACACCGAATTAAGGGGTCATAAATTGAAACTTGCCATCCAATAGAGTCGGCTGGACTGGCGCTGGAAGTACTTTTCGCTTCGAGTTCGTCAAGCGTGGAACGCGCTTTCGGCTTTTGTCACTTCAGCGCCTCCGCTAACCACTAGAAAAAAGGACTCGACGATGCTGTACATTACTTACATTAATTGATCTGATTTCTGTTCATTGAGGGACGACAAGACGCAGACAAACATTGTGCTCACCAACCGCACAAAATCCGGTTAGACGGATATACCTTTGTGTTAATGTGGATTATATGGTGAGTCCAGAGATGTGTTTTCACTTTTGTATAACTTCATTAATCTAAGATTATTCCCACAAACCATCCCATGGGACTTGTCAAGCCTTGACTTTTTATCCGTATTATACTATTGTTCCATTGGGTGACAGTCTCGTAGGTTATACCTAATGAAGCCTAACGTAGGTACTCCTTACTAACTTGTGTATATTTTTGTGTCTCCTCGGCTTTGAATTGCTTGAAAGCCTATGCGCTTTATAACCTTTGGTTGAAGTCTAATTCTAATGCAAGGCTTTTCCTCGCAAAAATTCCTGTCCTTAGCCACCCCTTTTTATTCTCCCTACCAAAGTGAGTAGAAGCATTTCGCAGGATCGATAAGCGCCCGTTGATAATTTGCCGGCTGATGGTCTACTGAATACATATGGCGAGGTTCAGGTGCACATATCAACCAGTATTTCAAAGCCGGTTTACACATCTCAACAAATATCAAATAAAGCGACGGAAGCCCTTTAAAATTCCGGACAAGTGATGTATGTAAGTCACCCAAATGAAAGTTGGCATGTAAGAAGCGCAAGAGAGAAAAAGGAGAGAGAGACTACATCATTACCAGAAATCGGTAGGTAGATTTAAGTGCTGCAAGTTATGTAGGTCAAGTCAAGTCAAGAAATTGCTTCGTGCACCCTGCTTGGGTGAATATTCAGCCATAGTACACATGATCACATCAATGTATCAAAAAAGCAAATAAGTGGCAAAGCAATACGGCAAAGAACGAGTAGATAAGGAGGAAATGCACAATCAAGTTAATAGTGGACTGATTAAGTCAAGCATGACAGCGTTGGGGTCTCGCAAAAGGCGCGAGATGTGAGGGATGACTGATGAGCGGTAAGCTTGTGGGCGGGCATAGATTCGCTTGTATTTCTGCCTAGTAGACGAAGTTGATCAACATTCGGATAAGGCAGTATGTAGGGGATGACTTGTATCAGACAGTATCTTAGAGGTCAGCATTTTACAAGAACTGATGTGTGTAGAAATAAATATTAGTAAAAGTAGATATTGGAACACCGTTACATCGGGCTAAGTATTTTACTGATCTGATAAATGCTTTGAAGATATTTGACTCACAGCAAACTCTAGAAACATTGACAGAAGGTGATATAAGAAACACCTGAAAAGATATTCGCTTACAGCTGGCTTACACACTACATGTCATTACATACTATACCAAATCCCGTGTCTTTGCAGCCTAGTAGTCCTTCCCTTTATTATCTACACCAGATGGTACAAACATCCGTAAATTTTACACATGAGGTGCACGGGTCTAGCACCCAAGGAAAAAAAGTCATGATCCGAAATTCTATTAACAACCTTTTCTTTAATACCATGAAACGTATTCGCTATACAAATGATCACTCTCATTTAGGGAGCCGTGTACCGTCTGTCTGTAAATATACAAATTTATTTACGTATTTAATTTAAAATGCTTACCCAAAAGGCCGGGAAATATCACAGGGGAACAGTACGTCCAACGGGGAAGAAAACAGATTTTGAAAAAGCGGATGATGAACTCACGAGAAACTCAGGAGGCTCTGAGCTGAGAGGCATAGAATGAGAGCCTACTGACTTTGTGAAAGATACAGTTACTTGAAGCGTCCAAGATAAATGGTAACGTCGCACCCAGATATTTTAATCATGTGGATGACTGCAATTCGTCGCCATCAATATGTGGCTTGTTGCACAGTGTAAAGAACGCTTCGTACCTGGTGTAGTCAGGCAAGCCGTACGCTTCCGGAACAGCAGCGGACGACGGTTTCATCCTTTCGAGATTCACACGCAGACTAACCGAACAGTTTACGACAGCAATGTTAGCTTATGTGATCAATGCAACTGGGTCTCAGTAGATCACACGCGTCATTATCAAAGCATTCTTCGAACAACGGTCTTTTGCTTCAGCATACGCCATTATTCTTTCCGCACAATATGTAATACTCCTGGAGTGCTGTTATACTTATCTATTAAATGTGTAGTCCGTTACTTTACAAATAGTGTGCAAATTCTTCGGTAACAAGCTGCAAAAAACCATGGCTATTTTTTATATTCCTTATGAGGCAAAACGCCGAAAAACATCGGTTCATACATTTCCATGCAAGATACCGAATGCATAAGTTACCAACCAACTGTGCACCATTACCGAACCTTTCTTTGTAACGTACTTACAACTGCGAAATCGATGAGGTTATCACTTCGCGCCGACCAGTTGACATTTGGTGCAGTGAAATATTACGTTAGAATGATGCGAACATTAGAAATTCAGGTTACTATCCATCTGTAAAAGTGCCGATAATATCAGATTATGGGGTGTCTCATCTGTTCGAGAATAAACCTCCAAATGTTATTTAGCTATACTAATGCTTTTACACGAGTCAATCATCAATTTCCAGCTAACAGACCAATCAACCTAGAAGAGTAATAGCACCAAGTGTTTAAGTACGTATTGGATTGAATGGGCTAGTGTAGCCATATACCTGCGAATGCTATAGCCTAGTACCTAAAACTTTTGCCTTTTTGGTCGCATCTACGGAAACTTAACTTGATGCTGATACACATTATCATAAACCAAACGATATACTTCAAGCTATGCACAGTTAAACTGCGACATAACTTAACCTGGAAACTACATAACAAGACCTGTTAAACTGACTGCGCCAAGAACCACGATAGCTATTCGAGCCAACTGTTTCCTAGTCAGATACTCTGTCTGGGGGAATAGCGTAACAGCAATTATCAGGTCTTGCACAAATACATTCACATTCCGCATTCAAACTGGATGTGTTTCGATGTTATTCCTCACAACAGTAAACCAACCAATTCGGATACGGTCCATGTGATCGTACTGACCGAGGTCTACTTCAAAGAGTACCGAGGTCTGAATAGAGATGGCGTGTCGCAATCCAACCACACAGCGAGTACTTTAAATCCAACTTCGAATTCCGCATTCAACTTAGAGATTCCCCGGACCGGAACTCCATAATGAACACGTCTCCATCGATAAATCACTACACTAGTTCTTCCAGGATGGACTAAGAAATATATAACGAGCGTGAAATGATATTACATCAGACTAAGCAACAACAAACATAATGTGATTCAAAAAGGCATGATGTCACACGCCCCAGAAAATACATGCCTGGGCATGATCATAATTGTACGCATGATCTGTCCCCCAGTCAAGGATAACTTCTCGCACAATCGAGAAAACAAACAAGGTAGACCAGTTCTGACCACTCGATACACGTAATGTGTGCTACGAAATGAACTCTCTCCACTCATCCCTCGACTGTAGTGACAGGTGTTGCCAAAAGCAACTGGGTGGCCTAGGCGTATATAAATGTCGGCTGATGTCCGAGTCACAGTCGGTGTTACGGTTCCACGAAAGTGGAGGCCGTCGAGAGCAATGTTTTCGGGCGGTGGTAGTAAGATTCGTCTGCTTCAGGTGTAAGGCCTAAGTGATCGAATTGACCGAATCTATGCATAGTGATTCGCGGCCCAAATGGTGTCTACATGTCGCAATCCATTCTCACACAACGAGTGCTTCAAAATAAAATCCGAAAGCGACTGACGATTTGGACGATTGGTGATTGACGGCGAATATCTGCAGTACGCAGTACGCAGTACGAGGAACTAATGATTGACACCGTTATCATAGCTACACCACTAGGTCGTAGTGATCACGCGACGTTGTACTTTCGTTACATCTGTTATTCGGAGTACGTTAGAGAGAACGACGAGGAAACTTATATGGTTACACATTTCGACATCTTGTCTAACCTTGTTCAAGACACCAACTGGTTCTTCCTGACCGAGAATCCGCCCGATGAGGCTTGGATGGTGTTTGTCACCAAATTCACTGAGCTAGTGGCAAATGCATCAGAACGCAAGGCCTTTCGCCCGAAGCAAGTGGATTCGTTCCTAAGAAGCCGTACGAGAAAATCTATGGCCTTAAGGGATTCGGCCTGGCACGCTTACAAAGTTTGCCCAAGTAATCTGACCTGGGGAGTCTACACAACTCAACGAAACCACTGCGTCAAGTTGATTCGCGAAGACAAACACCAGCACCAACAGAACTTAGCGGCGAAATTCAGCAAAAATCCAAAGCTGTTGTATAGACATATCAACAAACTCCGTAGAGTGCAGCCCGGGATCCCGGTCTTGCGTGCAACAGATGGTCATGCGCAAACTGCACAGGACGCGGCCAACGTGTTTCGTCAACACTTCCTCCATACTTTCCGGAGTGAACCATCCCTTCACCCATTTTGACAGAGCTCTTACCGTTCCCAGGTTTACACAACGTATCGTTCACGGCAACCAATGTGTTGAAAAC